TGCAATGCAATGCAACCATATTTTGAGGAATTTTACGTTCAGTCATATGACACATACATAACGTGCGGCATATCGTGGACCCTATGCTATGTGTTAGTGTGTGAATTGCATAACAAGTCCCGACATATAATAGACATAATAAATGGACGCAAAAGTGATGCGAAAACACGTTATTCGGAGGTTTGCGTCAGAATTGCAGCGAAAGTGAGGTTTTAGACATTGAATTGACTTTCGGTGCGATAGATGTGGTGATCATATAATAATCGGTCGATTGTGTGATTGTTGGACACAAACTGTGTTGACATTTGTGTGTATATTATAAACAGACGTTTTGAGTCGAAAATAGCTAACAAAAGCGATCCGCACGACATGTCTGGAGCTATGGACAGGACTCTGTCCTCAATGGACGCACCACTGAGTGGCCTCTCATCGGCTTTGGGAGGCTATGGAGGACTGGGCTCTCAGATCCAGTCGCCGTACCTCCAGTTTGATCCCCTGATGCTCGAGTCCGGGGGCAACAAATCAGAGTTCATATTCCCAGACGGGGGGCACAGGGCTAATAGGGGGCGCTTTGAGCTCGCCTTCAGTCAGATCGGGTCGTCCGTCATGACGGGCGCCGGCATTGGAGGCACGGTAGGCGTTGTCAGGGGTATGTATGGCTCACACACTCACTGTGTGTTTGGATTGGCGTTTGTGTAACCAATGTATGCATCGATTGGTGATTAGGTGTGAAAGCCGTGGCCGACCTCAAGGAGTCGATGTCTGTCCGGAGGTCTCAACTGCTGAACTATATCACCAAAAACGGCGCCGGAATGGCCAACACTTTCGGCACAATAGCGCTGTTATACTCAGCCATAGGGGTCGGCCTGTCCTTCGTTCAGGACTCCAACGATGACATTAACACTGTATGCGCGGCCGTATCGACCGGTGCTCTCTATGGAGGGCTCTCACAACCGCCTAATAATAAGCGCACAGAGAAAGCGCTTTCAATGGGTATTTCAGTTGTATTAATGGTTTTATTGATTACAGTTTATGTAATGATTTGTTTGTATGATTAGGTCGTAAACTATGGGAAATCCGATTAAGGCGTTCAGCTGCCGGTGCGGCGATCGGTGTGTCCGCAGCCGTCGCATACGTCCTACTCTTCAATAAAGAGAAATATTTGAAGAAATAAATGTTTAGTCATTAGTTTAGGTTATAATAAATATTCAAATTATATATACTTTGTATTAGTTATTGACAAATATGTAGTTAGTAATTACACACTCATTCATTAACTTAAATATTCAAATATTGAGGTTTTTGCTCAATTAGTAGCCCAACAAATGCTATGTATTTACATCCATAGACCTATGTTACTATTTTCATAAATAATATCTTAAACACTTATTAAATAAATTGTTTTAACATATATTTTAATTGTCTTTTTATTTGAGATTTAGTGCAATGATTGGAAATGTTTGTACCAATAGTTTATGAATTAGAGAGCATTTATTTTCATAACGGGAGTACATTATAGTTCAATTAGTATGTGTTTGGCTATAATTCAAATTAAAATGTTTATCGCATTTGACTAGAGATTACAAATCGGAAGGCTTTACTAAATTAAAAGTTATTCAATAATGTCTTAATGTTATGTAAGTTGAGCGTAATTTTTATACATATTGAGTGTGAACCTGTAAAAAGGGAGTAACTCTAACGGAGTTAACAACATATGATACGCCGTTTGGTGCGTTGAGTGCTTAGAGAGTATCGGCCAATGAGTGGTGAAAACGTGAGTGAAGTGATCGCAGACAGAGTGAAGTGTTGCCAATGTTTTGCTTTACAGTTAGGGATAGAGTCGAGTGGTTATCGCTAAACACAATATTATCACTGAATTAAAGGTAAGAGACTTTTGATATATGTTTGATTGCTTGCCATATGGACTGCCAATGTATGACAGATATCATTGTCACTGCATTGCTATATCAATACTATCTGTCTATACTTTCACTTTCTGTCCATTTGGGGTCAACATAGGGCATGACATTTAATGAACTAATTATAGCCATAACATATTGACAGCCTATATTAATTATCCAGGTAGCTTTATAAAAAGTAATGAATATTCTTGATATTCAATACTATTATAGGCATATATGATGTAACCATTGGTTTGAAGTTAATTTATATACCATTTCCTGAATCCAGTTTACATTGTGATTAGACGTTACTTACAATAAAATACCATACATTTGATACATAAAAATTTAATTAATTTAAATGTAAATACAATAGTAAATTTTTGTATAAGTTATTTGAAAATGTGTTGAAATATTTAATGTAAAAGTTTATTCACAGCTTTTCTGTAAAAAAGAGAGAAAAAAGTTTTTAATTTTGTGTTGAGTTTTGAAAACAGTTATACTGTATTGTATGAAAAGTTTATTTTCGGTTCACTAATCGCTTTAATTATAATTGCTTTGAATTTTAGAAAATATCACAAAAACATGTAGTGTTTGGAAAATGATTTAGACAAACGATTTTGTAAATCTTAAATACTGTACTGTACCATACATAATGAATATATTGCTACAAAAAACTTTTTAAACAACTCCTGTTATTTTTTCAAACTTGGTGTCAATAATCGCTGCGAATATTGAATGAATTATGAATTTTTTAGATTTAAATATAATTTTTAAAAACTAATTTTTAATAAAGATTAGCCATTATGTTATAATTTGTTTCACATGTAACTCAATTGAAAGTAATGACCCAAATACTGTATTCAGATTAAGTTGAAATAAGTTTAACTTTTATTTTACAAATCACTCATTGATTTTGATCGATATTTATTATACAATGCATTAGTTTATTGTGAAAATTGTGAAATATTTGCCAATGAATTGCTCATTGAAAATATAATTTTAACAAATTATCATTGATTAAGGGCAACCATTTGATGTTTTATCAGTGTTTTGTAATTTTAAATGTAGTATGTTATAAATTAAGTATTTTATGGCATACCGTATAATGTCAATGGCAATTACATTTTGACTCCTGACACCCCTTATGCAATACCGTTTAATTAAGATAAACTAAACTAAAGTCTTTTATTAATTAAGTTAGTATGGTATGATACCTGTAAATATCACTTTTTAATGGTTTTATTTTTATTATTTTATTTACGAAATAACTCACGATTTAATAAACACATATGACTTGAATGTAAGAATTGTGATTACAATCTAACAGCACAGGTATTTGTTTTCTAAACAATTTTCCAACGATTTATATCCTGATTGTAAATTACGAAAACATCAATTTTTTATGTTAAAAATTTTAACATAAAATATTTGTGAATCGCAACTTGTGATCACTTGTTATATCTATTATTGTTTTACTAAAGACAGTAAAGTGTGAATGCAGAGAAGTTTTAGTGTGGATTTAATTTATGGTAGTTTTGTGATATTATTTTATTGGTAGTGTAATTTAAATCTTTATTTTGTTTGTGGATTTTTAAAAATAATTACTTGAATTTTCACGACTTGTATTGAGTTATTTAAATATTCAAATTATTATTCATAATTGTCATTGAAGAGCAACGTTAATACAAAACCTGTTATACAATCATTTCGTTAAAATAAATGTTATTTTAAAGATAATATGATTTTGAATTGTATAAAAAATTAATCCATTTACTACATTTAAGTTTACTTTTACAGGATGTTTACCAAAAATAGAAATTATTAATACCATATATGTTATTGAAAGATAAAATATTTTACTTTTTAGCAAATGTAGTGGAAATCTATTTCTTATTAACTATGATCACAAGAAAATTGCCGCTTTTGTCTCACTTTTCATATGAAAATAAAGACATGAATTAAAATTCTGGGTATAGGGAGGGCTTTATATTTATAGGAATTTGATTTCACATGTTTTTATTTTATTCATTAAATATCCCAAACTTATTGTTAAATGTTTGCAATCAATACATTCAGTGTAGTGTACCGATGAATATTTAATGCGTTAATCAGACCGAAAATATCTTCGCAAATGTTTTCATTTTATAAGAAGATTATTAATTTATTAATAAATTTTTATAATTTCTCTACATTTCAATCGTTATTTTAGTTTTTTATGAGTAAATATTGCGATCAGTTCACTGTCTCGTCAAATAATAAGAGTTTTAGTTATTTTTTATTTAAATATTCAATTATATAATTCTGCACTAAATATTGAAATAAAATAGGAATTTGTATTTGCATTATCTGTCTAAACACCGTAAAACAATAATGTCATTGGTATATTAATTGTCAAAAAGCTGTTTTATAAATTAAATTCATTGACTCTCATGTTTGACACCAAATAAGAGTATGTCTTCAGTTGGTATTCATACATAAGTTTATTAATAGTCGTATTGAATAAAACAATGAATTAAAATCTATTGAACGGATATGAGTGACGAATTTGATAATATTTGTTGTAATAGTTTAATGAAAATTGTTTGATTTAAATGCGATTTCTATATGTTTTTGAAACCCAAATCAATTTCTTTGTTTATGAGAAAAATTTTACATTTACTGTATGTATTGATTGAAAGTCGAAAAGAAAATTGTTTAAAAATAATATAAGATTCAATTA